AAATAACAGAGTAACTGTTTACATTTTAAAACATCCCTGCCTTTTTTGCCAGGCCTCCTCTGAGCTTCTGGTTGCTCCATCCACAGACTTTTCGGTCACTGCCGACCCCAAGTTTAGTCCTAGTGCATGAGAAGCTTCTTCTGTTTATATTGACTGTAGGAGTTGTGTTATCTGCTAAAAAAGCTCCACTCACTGTTATGAGGGGTCAAAGATATAGAACAAACATGAATGTTTTTCAAAGGACAAGTTATATTCTGGTTAAAATTTACTCCACCAAATAGCTCTGACTTTAGGTAAAGTATTAGAACAAATTACAGTGAAAAAGGAAGCCCCTCCCCCCCAAAAAAAAGAAAAGAAAAAAGAAATCAAAACATTCTGGAGGTGTTCAAATGCAAATCAGGAGGTGATGGGAGTAGAAAGGTACTGGCAGGGGGTGGGAATGTTAGTTTGCTCAACTTTCTTCATTCCTTTCTTCTCATCAGTTTTTTCCATGTAAAACTGTTTTTTTTTTTTTCTTTCTTCTCCCCACCGACCACAAATATCTGACTCTTGTCCTAGTTCAGATGGTGGAGTCAGTGACCGTCAACAGAAGAAAGAGATCCAGTAAAAATAAAGGTCAGGATGATGCAGGCGCCAGAGCCGCCTGGGTTGCTAACAGCTCGGGAATCTGTCTGAAAGGCCACGCTGGAAAGAAAAGTCACATCTGCCTGGAGGGCCTGCAAATGTCACAGTGTTGCCCTGCACCCACCACTCAGACCTGTTGAATGCCACTCTCCACCATATTTACTCTGCACCAAATGGTTGGGACAGAGCTTTCTCATTTCCGAGCAAATGACCGTGAGCAGAGGCGGTCATGCCTTGAACATTTAGCGAAGGAAAATAATTGCATTACCTTGGGCGGAGTGCCCTTTCAAGACTGTCAGGCAGCCTAACAGAGAGGAAACAAGTCGTAACACTAGGCACAGATGCTGAGACACATCAAAAACTTATTAATACTAAAGAATGAAGGAAAATCCTAGCTTGAGGCAGATTTATGTAACTGGATGTCAACACAGATTTCCAAACCCCTTTCTGAGTTGCTGACAGAGCACCAGCCCTCTGTCCTGCCGTCTGGTGGGAGAGCAGTTTTCTGGTGGTAGGTTCGTCTGAGTCTGAGACTGGATCTGCTGCTACTTACAACGTGGAACCAGAGACAAGTTGTCCTGAGTCACAGTGTGTTCAACTCTTAAATGGGGGTAATACCTTTCCTTTAGCAGCCTTCGGAGGATGCATTAAATATACACACTGACCAGCTGAGCAGTGCCCCCATTTCCTGCTGCCTAGGTGACCTTGGGCAGATTGCCTGACCTGTTTCTTCATCTGTGATATGGGGATAATTCACACTTTCCAGGTCTGTGGTGACAGGTAACTCGGAGAGAGTCCAGTGACTCTCCTGCACAGCCTGAGCTATTTCATTGTTCAATGCACTTCCTAACATCTTCTCCCACCTTCACAAATAGAAGCCTGAAATAGAATCCCCTAAAAAATAGCACTAACAGCTAATAAGTGGAAGGCGTGGCCTTGAATATGCATCAGCTAGTCTCAGGCAGAGATGAAAACCACTGTCTTCAACTGAATTTCCCACCAACTGTGATGACAGATTAATAGCAAAAGCTGTATTTGGGCACTGTCTCTCCAGGTACCCTAAGCACCATGCTGACATAACCTCACAACCTCCGGGGGGGGTGGGGGGCAGAAGGTTTTGAGTGATTTAATCACCACCTTCAAAAAGATGAAGGGTTAGGATCTGGGTGGTGACCAGCTGTCTCCACCACAACCAAAGCCAGATGAAGAGCCGGTCTATGTTGCAGGGGAGATTTCGGCTAAACCCTTGGAGATACATCTTGAAAGGTTTTCCGTCTGGGTAGTCCTTTAAAGTACTGAATTATGTACTGTTTACTTTTCCACTGGTATACTGAAAGATATATATTTCCTCACAGTATTTATACAGTGTGGCTTAACACCTGGGTGATTCCTTTGGGCGGGTGCTCCCCAGAAACTACTCCAGTCAACTCCGTCACACAGGGCCATTTGGCAGTTTCCCAGGGACGTTCTGAAAAGGCTCCAAATGAGCAGATTATGCCATGGTTGAGTGAGCTTTCAGCAGCTAACGCAGACCCACGCTGAAGGTTAAACAGCAAATGGGGTTGTTTAGTTACCCAGGCTTGCGAAGGGCGTCTACCGGCGGAGCACGAGTGAGTCACTATGGCAATTACAGGAACTTCGAAACCTCAGGCTCCCGGGAAAATGATGTACAGGGTCCAGCACAAATAACACACCTTTTTATTATAAAATTTATTATTATTTTTAATTGTTGTTCAAGTATGCTTGTTTTTTTACCCTACCTCAGCCCCCGGCCCCACCCATCCCCACCTCCCACCCTCGAACCCACCCGCTTTGGCTTTGTCCATGTGTCCTTTATACACGTTCCCTGGTGGCCCTCCCTGTTTTCCCCTATTATCCCTCTTCCTCCCTCCCCTCTGGTTACCATCAGTTTGTTCTTTAATTCCATGTTCTTGGTTATATTTTGTTTGCTTGTCTTGTTGATTAGGTTCCACTGATAGGTGAGATCATACGGTATTTGTCTTTCATCGCCTGACTTATTTCACTTAGCATAATATTCTCCATTTCACTGTTGTGAAATCTTTTATTACAAAATCATAAGCATGTAATTCTGTAACAACATCACACTCAAGCATACCCTATGACATTTTAGGTGAAATGTCCAACTGAAGATTATAAATGATCACACCCATATTATTGCCCTACCAACCACACTCAAGCAGGTGTTGCTTCTGCCGGACCCTCTGTGTGACTACCCCGTCTTCGAGCAGTGGACACCGGCAGTTTGACTATCATCCCTTCCTCCTGTGCTTGCTATGGTGTTAGTCTGGTTGCCAGCAGAAGCAAACAGGGCTAAAGGGACATGGACATTGGTATAAGCCACAAGAACCAGCAAAACCCCAATTCCTCACCGACTGGAACCCTGCAAGAGGCCGATGGCAGAACCCTACGGAGGTCAAAAAACCAGCCATCAGCACCACCCTCTGCCCAGCTCCTGATGATGACCAGCTGACTTGACAGGCGTGTGCTATAGGACACTGCTTCTCAAAGGTGAACTTGCCTGTAAATTACCTGGATATCATCTTGTTAGAATATAGTCCTGGGGAGGGATAGAAGATGCTCCATTTCTAAGAAACTTCCAGGCACTGTCCCCACGGAGCAGTTTGGGAAGTAAGATCTCTACCACTTGCTGCATACATCAGGGCCCCTCACCAATAGAGGCTCAGACAAGAGTTTATCCCCGTTTTATGTAATCTTGCTCCTCCAAGCTGTTCTGCTGCCGGGTCACGCCTGGCCCCAGTGGTCTAGCCTGGATTCATGTCTTCGCCTGCAGCTTACCGAGCAGGCCTGGAGCAGCAGGCAGCATGCCCTTACCTTTAAGGTCCAGGTCCAGAAACTGCACATCCCAGTTCTATCCCCACTCTTCTGGCTAGAATGTACTCACATGACCACACCTGGCCCCGAGTAATGTTTCATTTCATGCGTATTTTACTCCGTGTTCCTAAGTGTCCAACTGAGAGAGAATGCCTATCAGGTGAAGACATGAGTGTCTGACGGCTGAGGTTAAAAAATGTAATAGTGGAATGTTGTTGAGTACTTACTACCTGCCAGGCACAGTAACTTCAACAAATCACCTCATTCTATCTTCCCCAAACGTGCCATTGGTAGAACACTATTTTTATTCCTGTTTATAGATGAAACAAGTGTAGAGAAGTAGCTTGTTTTGGTCAACAGCTGAGGCAGAAGCAGGATTCAAATCCAGGCACTCTTGCTCCACAGCTCGGACTCTTCGGAGTAAAGAAAGGACAGATAGAGACAAGCAGGCAGTCTGCACAGGCAACAGCCCCACAGAAGCAGGAGGAGAGTAGTGGACCACAAATCTATGAGACAAAGCCTGCAGGACTGAGCAGAAAATCTCGTGCATTCGACAACAATGCCTTGCCTGGGACAATTTATACATTGTATTTCCAGAGGCAGAAGGATGGAGACAGGAAAGCTACTCTGTTTCAGAGCTTTAAGACCTGCGAGCCAAGAGGCTCCTTCCCCACCCTGGCGGCATGACTGTCAGCCCAGGCTGGGCCAGACCTGAGGCACTGCTCTGTGGCCTGCTGCTCTTTTGCCCCCTCCCCCGGGCAGACACCGCTCCCTCCGAGCACCTGGCGCACTTGTCCTAGGAGAGCCACAGCTGGCCGGGACCAGAAGGGGCCGCTTCTTTGTGTAGCAGTCACAAGTTAGAGGACATTTGAAAACTGTCTTCCAGGGTTTCTTTACCCCCCTTCTTCTTTTCATGAAAGGGGCTTTTTGTTAGTACAGCCTTTGTTTGGGGATTCAGTTGATAAAGGGACCATTTTATTGGGATGAATTACTGACGCAAGTGGTGCCAGCAGTCTTAGGGAGAGGGCAGCACTCTGGCTTCTCTTCAGCAAGGTGAATGGAAACAGCTCTCGGGCGTGGGTCTCAAGGGCACTTTGGCATCTGCTGCCATCAGCAACTTGGGAGTTTACTTGCTAGTTGAAATAGAGTCCAGGGGGGTAGTCAGGGAAAGTACTAGCAATTTTAATAAAACATGACTTTTTCCTTTATTTATGAAAAATGTCAAATGGTCAAGACTTTCGGGCCAGGGCTTATACAGAACAAGCTCTTTCTACCTATTGCATCAGCACTACTGAGAATGGGGTAATCATCTCATATATCTGAACCCCTGAAAATCCCTCTGTTGAGCCAAGTGAATGCTGGTGAAAAAAAAAAAGTTAAACAGGCAAAGTAAACTAGAATCTCTCAGAGTGTGGTACCCTCCCCCCCACAGCACATTTAAAGGTACTTTAGAGTAATTCTTCTTTTGATGGTCCTCAAGGGATTTTGAAAAAAAAAACAACAACAAAAAACAAAAAAAAACCTCAAGCCAAAACTTGTACATTCCAACTTGTGTTCCCACGTCTGGTGCATGTGCAGCCAACACAAACTTGTGAAAATGCACGCGTATAGTGTATTGGGGCCCATAATCTAATCTGCTGTTTTGCTGAGACTCTGGGACCCAGCCCATGTAGTCTGTTAGATGAATCAGCATTTCCTAGGAAACTGCTTTTAAAATATTGCTACTTGCAAACGGTGGCATGGAACGCAGCATTTAAATCAATTGACCGTGAACTCTCAGAGTTCAAGGAAATCATTAGGGGGCTGATAAGGACAACAGACGTCTGGGTAAGAGAAAAAGTAACCCTTGACATCGTTTGAAGGCATGTAACACCAATCAGTTCTAAGTGACTGAACCCCAAGTACTGACTTAAAGACAGGTGCCCAGAGGCAGCCGACAGTGCTCAGGCTGTGGGAGTGCCACACGGACTCCAGCTCCTACAGCTCTGCCCTCCGAAAGGCCAGGTAGGGGAGCCCGCCACTTGTACCCGTCAAAACAACATGCACTTGTTTTAAGAAAGGAAGACAAGTTTCCTATTTTGCAAAGTGAGGATCATAATGTCCGGCCTCTTCTATCTCACAAGAGGACACGGCACCCTTCTAAAAACGCTGTACCAGTTTCTGGTGGTGGTGTTACTAAGTGGGGTGAACAGTGTCCTACACAGCTGGTGGGAGGGCAACGTCCAGGAGTGTTTAGTGTTTATAGGCAGTCTGTTACTGCAAAACTCCCCTGAAGGTCCTCTGTCTGACCCCAACCCAGCCATTATTCATTCACACAGATTCTGTACACCTGTGTTACAGTTGTGACCAATCATTTTTATTATGTATCTCCCCAGTTTGCTATAGAGCATCATGCAGCCAAGTGGAATCCGCAGTTCCTTGAACTGCCGAGACACACAGTAGGTGCAGAGTTGATGCTAGTCATTATATTAATGAATGCTGATAAAAATGGAAAATACATACATGGGAGAATTTGCTTACCCCCCAAATTTGCCCTTCTGATTTTCTAAACGTGGGCTTTTCTAATCCTTTCCTCGACCTCAGATCTTTTAGGAGGAGAGGGAGTGGCCAGCATGCTGGCGCCAGGGTCAGCTCCTAACTGAGCCACAGTGCCGCAGGCTTTTCCACTCGAGATAATTCTCCGAGTACTTACAAGCTGTAGAGCAGACAGAGGTTCGCTACCACTTGCAACAGGCCAGTACCTCCGGAGTTCAGTTCTCAGGAAGAAAAGCAAGGATGTGAGTTCATCTTTTCATATTCTCTGAAAAATCCTTCAAGCCATAATAAGGTGTGGCAAGAGAATGTCCAGTGTTTCATGCAGTGAACCGAGTCTTGTACAGAGAGGACACTACTGTACTCTGTCGTCCAGCCAAACACGTCGCTTCTCTTGGAAAAACGATCCCGTAGGAAGGCCTATGAAATCCTTGCCAACCAATATCTAAACAGGTGGCAGGAAATTTTTGGATTTTCTGAGATGGATTTAGACACTCTGTAAGTTAGATAAAGAAGGAAAACTATCATCCAAAATGGACATTCTGACAGCATTTCCCTGGACATGACCCCTCCTAGCTGCAGACAAACAGAGGAAATACAGCCTGTCACGAAAATGAGGAGGGAAAGTTAGGAGTTTTCCCATGAACTGCAAGTCCTTCCCGCCCCCTCCCCGGCAGTGAAAACAGGGCAGGAAATTAAATAATACTTGCTTTGATTTCATGTTATCTTTCAAAAGGTGATAGTGGAAGGTTGTTAATCATTAAGCCATTAAAAATTTTATGTTGGTTGTAATCAGATACGTTTATTTTTTAAAAACATTTTCTATTTATTGGTAACCCTAGATTATTAGTAGAAAAATGCACCATATAATCATAACTCCAGACAATGGATAAACAGCTGTTATTAAAAGGAATGCTATTTTCTATTATTTTTGTCATTATTTATTCTTTAAAAACAAACAAAACCCCCAACAAACTACACACCTTTCCTGCATGTCAGACCTTTAAGAGTGTAAAATCTATAAACTGGGGTTCTCAGAAGCAGCAGCGCCAGTCAAATATTATAAGAAGTGCTTATTTGAGGTGCTTTAAATTAAAACAGGAAAGAAATCAGTATTTCAGCAAATCTAAATTTACAAGTTTAGACCTGTTGATGTGTCTTTGTCTTTAGTGGTCTGGGTTAAAGTGATATTGCACCAATTAAGCAAAGTAAATCAAGACACCTCAAAAAAGGTGATATAGTAAGAAAATGTCAATTTAATTATTTACTTTAGCAGGCAAGCAATTTGTAAACATTCAGTAGCGGCAGCATCCAAGTTACAAACAATTTAAAAAGAAACCAAGATTAGTGATTATAATTTTTGCTTCCCTTTCCCCCAGAAGAAAAGAAAAGATTTGGAAATGAATGACTTAAAACACTACAAACATTGAACATTCAGTTATGTCTTCTATCAGCCTTCTATGCACCCTCTCTGTTTTATTTTTAAAGATGTGTCTACTCCTAAAACGCATTATTTTGCAATAACTTGTACGTGAGCACTTGCAATCTAGGAAGCTGTTCTGGCACATGGATGTGCACGGATTATCTCAGTTTAAATCCCATTTGCAAAGGGAACATTTATGTCTTGATTCAATGCTTCTTTGACTTCGAGTGGCAGGGTGTCAAAAAGGTGATCTTCCACAACAAGACCGCTTTTCTTGAGCAGGCGACACTGGCCCAGCTGGGCTGGCAGGCGGTCCAAGCAGTTGCCCTTCAGCTCCAGCTGGGTAAGCTGGGAGAGCTGACCGATTTTGTCTGGGAGGGAGGAGATGCAGTTTTGCCCCAGATTCAAAGTCCTCAACTTAACGCATTTAAACAATTGTTTTGGCAGAATGTCTACTTTGTTCCCAGTGATATGCAAATGCTGTAGGTTCTGAAGCAATCCTATTTCTATTGGAATCATTGAAATGTTGTTGTAGCTTACATCTAAGCATCTGAGTTTCTGTAAACTAAACACTGCCACTGGTAAGGACTCGAGCTTGTTGTTGGAGAAATAAAGCGACTCCAAGTTTTTGACGTGGGTAATGGAGGGAGGAATGGTAACAATTTTATTATGCCATAATTTTAAACAAGTGAGCCGTTTTAAATGCTGGAAACTAATGATTTCTTCAATTGTGCGTATGTTGTTTGATTTTAAATCCAGTTCCTGTAAGTTGGAGAGGCTGAAAATTGCATGTGGAATTCTCTCGAGCTCGCAGTTCTGGAGTTCGAGCTCGGCAACATTCATCATTTTCTTAAGGCTGTTCAGTACCAAGAGTTTAGTGCCGTCATTATGAATGACTAACTTCGTCAGATGTGGAGCCACATCTGTGATGTTGGAGGGGACTTTGGTCAAATTGCTCTTCACGTGGAGAATCTTAAGGTGCCGCAACTCTCGGAGAGATTCGAGTCCTATCATCTTATTGTTTTCGGAGTTCAAATTGCCTATCAAGTACAGCTCTCGAAGGTTTTTGAGCAAATAGACCCAGGCAGGAATTTCAGCCACGTCGGTGAACTTCACGTGAAGGCATCTCAAGTGATCTCGGAGAAAGCTAAAAGCAGTCTGTTCAACTTTTGCGGGGCAGTGGCAGAGGTGAAGCTCTTGGAGATTAGTCATCTGAGAAATCTTAGCAGGGATTTTAGCTTCTGGAATCAGTTCAAGTTTTAGCACATCCAGGTCTGTGAGGTCAAAGACAGCCTCGGGCACGCCGGACAGCATGAACAGGTGCAGCTCCTGCTTGTCCTGGGCGTTGCGGGACACGTGCTGCCGGAGTTTTTCAAATGTCCACTCGTGGTTCAAACTAATTTCCCTAAGTTTATTTTCACTGACTTCTGACAAAAACACACCAAAACGCTTGGAATATAGCTGGTCATACTGGTCTACCATGTGTAGGAGGAACGCAAAATCGTTTTTGACATCTGGAATGTCGCTGAAACTGCTCTCTTCTCTGACCTTTTCAAAAGAGTATTCCTTCAAAGGTATCCTGAACAGCCAGAAGAGAGTGTAGAGGCAGATAAAACCGTACACGCAAATAATGGATATGTAACTGATGAGAAGCTTTTTCAGCATATAAGCCATGTTGTGGGTGCACTCAAACACCTCATAGCCGGTCAGGTGCTCGACTTTCGGCTTGCACACATGCTCAAAGCTGATTGCGTTGACGAAGTTTGCCGTATAGCAGAGAATAAAAATGAACTTGGCAGTTTTGACAACTGTTTGGACCACATAGAGTTTATAGATTAAGTCACTGTCTTCCACGTGGGCACGGAACTTCCTCACTTTCTCAAACAGGGCTTTGGCCTGCTCTCCGTCCTTTTTATCCAGGATAGTCATGCTGGGGACTTCGACCACGGGCTTCTCAGCTGAAAATTTGAAGCCGCTTTTGTTGATCATTGGGGTACTGGCGCTGGGGCTCCCTTCATCACTGCTGGTAGACACGTGCTTTGGTAGAGTCTGGGCACCTGTTATTCTCTGCTTGTTTTCCTCCGAGTCTTCACACGCTGTCTCAGACAACGCTTTCGTAGTCCAAGGAGATTCGAAGCACTTTCCTAATATTGAAACAAAATGTTCTACTTTTGAGCATGTTTTGGGATATTTGAACCAAAAGTTGCTACTGACCATAAGAATAATAGTATGTATAAGAGCAAGGTATGGAAAGTACTTAGAATACCATGGAAGGGCCAGATGGTAACACATCTGATTAATAAATACATATTGCTGAAAATCCAAGTTTGTTTTTCGGCCTGTTGGATCCTTCTTCTCTTTCTTTGCCTCCTGATTTGGAACTGTGGAATCTGGGTGAGGATATGTGGCTCTGAGAGGTATGTCAGGTGTCACAGCAGATGTGTCAAAGGAAATGTCATTTGTCGCCTGCCCATGTTGATCTTGGTCAGTGGCTGCCTCCATCTTCGGGATGTTGGTGGTAACGTCGGCATTTCCTGGTGGTGTGTGTGCCTTTGAATTTACAGGAGATGGCAATACTGGCAAGCAGACCACCTGATCTTTGGTAAGTTGCATGGTTCCCGCGAAGATGGCTACCATCAGCATAATGACAGCCAGGTAATCCATAAACACGTCCCACCATGGCTTCAGGATTCGGTAAGTTGGCTGGATGTCATTAAGTGAAGCAACTTCTGCAAGGGTAAACATTCCTAGAAAACAAGCAAATAAAAGACATGATTACAGAGGCGTAAGTGAAAGTATCAAATGTTTAGAAAAAACCTTTACTTGCTCCAAACTAAGTTTTCTCATCCTTTTATCTGAGACAGGTATGGTAGGAAAAAAACTGACTAAAAGGTACATCACTGAGAAAAATGGTGACTTCTTATAGTAGCTTTTTTCCTCCTAGCCCAAGAGGAGGAAAAAAAAAAGGGTGGAAAATAGACTACCTTCAAGGTAAGATACAGTGATAGTCTTCACAAGGTCTATGGTGGTTAGAGGGGAAAGCCGGGAGTAGACATTTGAGAGCTACTTTTCCTAGGAGGCAGAATTGGAAGACCTATTAACTTACTGGACCTCAAAGAGGGATATGAGAACAGGATGGTGTCCGTTGTGGACTGGACTGACTTAAGGTTGAGAGAGCAGTTTGGAGGTAGAGGGCTGGGATGACTTCTATTTTGTACAAGCCAAAACTGAAGACTCTGTGTATCAAACTCTGCACAGCCCGTGTCCCAGCCCCGGACCTGCCACTTACACATGCTATGATTCTCTAAGCCCGATATTTTTAATCTGTAGCCCGGGGATGATGACTTCTAAATGGGTTGTTGGAAAGCTTAAATTAAGACATGACTGTAAAGCTCTTAGCACAACGCATGACCACAGGTATTTGTTGGATCTTTATGTTAGCTCTCACCACTGTGGTGGGTATGCCCCACAGATGGCTGAAATGAAGGGTCTGGAGTGTGGAGGAATCTTAGTCTACAAATTTGGCATTTACCAATACATGTAGCTCAAACTCTGGCCCTTGATGGAGCACTGATAGAAAATGTGGAATGAGAAAAGGGCCAAAGACACAGGAGGACACAGAATGATCAATGATGACAGTAAGTTAGGACTAATGAGACCTTTGATCCCTGCCAAAACTGATGACCCCGGCTTTGAAGAGAATCCCGGTGCCAGGACAGTAAAGAATGTGGGCACCATTCACCAACAGCCAGCAGCTTTACTGCCCTGAAACCAGTTGTAACACAGCACAAGGACAGCCATTCTGAAAGTAACCAAGAAAAAAACAATGCCTATAGTAGCAAGTAAAGGGAACGGGCTTCTGTCATCCCGGGTGGGAAGCAAATGTAATCTTCCTGAATGAGGACATGTCAGCTTCCCGCAAAGCAACAGTACCCCCCCCTTCTGCTCTCTCAGGAGGTTCTCAGGTCCCAATAGTCATATATAAAATGACTGATAAAACTGGCAAAAAAAAAAAACAAAACGAAAAGATAAAAAGCAAGGTGTGTGCCTAAGGTTCTGGGAAAGTATTTTTTAAATAAAGGCTGCAAGACAGGTTTCTATTTCTGCGTGCAATGGTCGCCCTGAGTGCCATGTTGAAAAAGGTTCTGGGGCTGCCTCTGGCTTCAGTGGGAAACAGAATTGTGACTGACTACTGGTGTCCCTCCTGGCATAACAAAACGGAGACCGGTGGCCTGACTGCTTTTCTGCTTGTCCTCTCTGCGTTAGGTGATGTCTCCCAAAGCAGGGACCGTGTCTTACTCTCGGAAACTCTCCCACACAACTAGCACTGAACAGACCAGGTGCACGGTATTTCTTAATAAAAGACAACAAATATCTATTTCATTGTAAGAGCAATTCTCATATAATAGTTTTTTAAAAAAGTAAAATACCTTTCATGTAAACAGATAAACACAAGCCCCAAAAGTCCAATCACATCTAAACTACTGCGTCGTATTTGTATTTTGTGGAAATTGCTAGAAATCCCATTTCCAGACTTCAGGGCTTATGTCTGAGATGCCTGGCACCCAGTCTTTGTGGAAGCTTACTAAGGGAGTGAGGAAAGGAAAAAGTAGGTAACATCCCCACAGGACTCTTGTTTGTGTGTGTGGCCTGGGGATCCAAGCAGGAAGCCAGGCTGCTGGGACGCACGGTGGGCCGAACTCAACGAGAGACTGTCCCGCCACCTGCATGTGAGCCCTTCGGCCGCATTCTGCAAGCACAGACACTGTGCCCAGCCAGAGGCCAGAGTGGCTCCTGCTTCATGTACAGAAACTGGAGAACGTACCTCACACAGGTTTATTCCTGGAAAAAAAATTTGTGCGGTTACAGCAGGGACCACAGCTTGTAAGGTCCATCAATATGGATGATAGAAAAAAGTTTTTTTTTTTTAACATAACACTTCTAATAGAATTTGTCTTCACTCTTCAAACAGCTATATTGGGCTCTAAAGAAGCCAGGGTGTTTGGGGGTGAGGACTGAGGGAGCAGGGAATTTTGGAAGTCTCTGTACTGAGAATGCTGGTTAGTTGTCTGTTAAGCCTTGATTATTACCACTGCTTTCTCTGCCTCCAGTCTTGACCTCCTTCACTCCATCTTCCACCCTGCTGCCGGGCCTTTGGTGAGAATCCCTCTCTTCTCCAGACACTCTGTGCTCTGGTGGAGTACTTCTTCCACTTTCTCCAACGAGCTATTCTTCCTGTGTTCAGCTCCTCCCACACATGGTTCCCTCTACCTGGAACACCCCCCCCTCCACACTCCTCCACGAGGCTACCGGGTATCTGTCGCATTTCCCTCGATGCCCTCCCTGGCCCCCGTCTGGGCGAGGTGCTTCTCTGATGGCTCTCATCGGATTCTGTACCTCCCCTTTCACAGCCCTTATCACACTGTGGTAGAACCTACTGTGGACTGGTCTGGTTCCCCACTACATTCATTGTAAGTTCCGTGAGGACAGGGACCATCTTCCTTATTGCTAAGGAGCAATGCCTAACACAATCAATGAAGGCGTGCACGAATTACTGACAGTCATCTTCAGCAGCAGCATCAACATTTCTCAAGAACATTTATTAATTGTCTCCATATGGGATTGGGCAGAAGAGCACTTTCTTAAACTTAACTACCACCTCAAAGCAACCTGGGCCAATGCAAAATGAAAACCCCAAGCTAGGCCTCAGCATACAAATAAGCAGCTCTAGGACCCCACAGCAAAAGAGCTGTGGGACCCTTCTCATCACTGATACTCTGCAGCTGTCCAAGCTTCAACCGTGGTTTCCAAGCACTTCATACTCGGGGCAGGCTTTGTTTCCAGGCAAGTGAGGAGGCAGAACACTGCCTTAGAGGAGAAGAGGTAAAAGGTGTAAGCAGAGAACACAGCATTTGAGTGCTGTAACTTCGCACCAAAACCCCCAACGGCTGCCAGCTCAACCCCCACATCCTGAGAGGGTGACAACAGCCAAACACCGGGGACCAGATTGGGAAGGCTGCAGGCTCAGATGGACTCCTGTCCTCCCACACGTTGTCACCTCTGCCACTCCCCTCCTCAGGCGGTGTGCCCTGCCATTTCCTCCAGCTCAATGCTCTTTTTCTTTCTGTAGAACTCTGACTTATTCTTCAAGTTATAGCTCAAGCACCACCTCCTTCTCCAAGCTCCTATCATATTGTCTAATAATAAACTTGTTTCCAATGTTGGTCTTTCCAATGAGATCTTGAACTACTCTTGGGCAAAGACTATGTCTTATTTTGTAGATACCATGCCCTACTCTCTCCTGAAAAACAGAGAAGGCACATAGTGATGGTGATGGTGATGGCAGTAGCAGTACTACTACTACTGCTACTACTGCTGCTGCTGCTGCTGCTGCTGCTGATAGCAGCTATCATTTGTCTTCCTTCCATGTACCAAGCACTAGAAAAGGACCTGCACATCTGATAGAATCCTCTGATTTTGTATAGAGTGCATTCCTTAAAAAAAGGAATATATCAAAGTTCAGAGTTTCAGGTTTTGGGGCTGAGGGAATGGTTCTATTTCCAAAGTGCCACACAATATTATAAAATACACCAGAATTCCTAAAATTAAAAGGACAGATAATACCAAGTGTTGCTGGTAAGGCTGTGGAGCAATCGGAACTCCGAAACACTGCTGCTGGGAGTATGAATTGGTGTAACCGTAACGGGACACGTTTAAGTTAGTATCTACTAAAACTGAACACATGTATAATACGCTGGGACCTGGCAATTCCACTGTTGGGAATATCCATGAGAAATACATATACTCATCAAAAGACATGGGCAAGAACATTCACATCAGCACTATTTGCCACAGCCTGAAACTGGAAGCTGTGTAAATGGCCATCGACAGAAGGATGGAAAGACGAAATGTGAAACATGCACTAAATGGAGTACCAGGCAGCAATGAGAATGGATGATCTGGTTACATGGGTGTGTTCGGTTTGTAAAATGTGATCCGTAAAAGGTCATGTGCCTTTTTTGGCATGTATGCTTTAACTCCAACAAAACGTTTCAAAAAGAAATAGCAAAAGTAGCTGCAGCAGAAACAGCTGCCCCAGGAATGTGCTCTGACACCAGACCGACACTTGGCCTCGTCCCCATCCCACGGCATAACCGGCTGGCTGGGGTCACAGGTCAGGGAAGCCTGTGACTTTCCTCTGGCGGCCTCCACCTGCTATCTCCTTGGCCTGAGAGAAGTGGCCTGCTGTCCCTGGAGTACAAGGGACTGAAGCTGTCACAGAGAATGGGGCATAGAGGTATGCATACACGAGGCACAAAAGCTCTGGCTGGTAACAGTTGAACGCATTCAGATGAAATCCAAGGGGAACACGGCCTGAATTCCATCTGACCTTCACATTACTTGAAGCTGCCAAAGTGTTATTATTTTCCCTTGACAAGTAAAGAAACTGACTTACAGGAGTTAAGTTATGGCGGTCAAATAATTAGTGGTGGAGTCCGGACTTAAAATCTCATCTAAGGCCAAACGACATGTTCTTTCTACCAGATTACATTGCATTTCTTCTCTACTTCTCATGTTTGCAGTGCTTTAAGTTTTCAAATCACTTTTCTATAAAATATCTCAACTGATCCTCATAATAACTGAGCAGCTAGTAACTAGGCATTACTATTACCCAATAGTAATATGGGGAAACCTGAAGCACAAATAGCTTAAATGACTTACGTCCCTGAGCTAATTATGAGAGAGA